AATGTAATGTAATCTAATGTAATGGAATGGAATGGAATGGAATGGAATGTAATGTAATGTAATGTAATGGAATGGAATGTAATGTAATGTAATGTAATGTAATGTAATGTAATGTATGTATTTATGTATGCATGTATTCTGTGTGCGCGTGTTTCTGTAGTATGTCTGGCGCAGGACAAGGAGTCTTCCCATTGCACACAGAGACCGTCTGCTGCATCAAGTCCGGGTCGCCTCACGCAGCGATCCGTCACCGGAAGGCACAAGAGACTCAAAACCTGAGCTTGTGGAAGTTACTCGTGGTTTGGGGTTGAAGCCCCCCGCAGAGCCGAGAGCCACAATCCAGCGGTCCAGGCGCTTCTCACGGGTGAGCTATGATGAGGCGCTGGATTTTCGGCTGGTAGGGAGCTGTCGGATTTGGTGGAGTGTCAGCCCGCTTGGAGTGACAATGCTGATGTGGAAACCTGTAAACCCAGCCTTCACTTAGGCTACGAGTACAACTCATCCTTCAGATACAGATGTTCTTTGCAACAAAAACAGAAGACCCACGAAGCCAAGGATCAGGCCGCCCGAGTTCAGTTTGAGCGCAGTGTTTCCCAGTCCGCCATGAAACACGCTGAGCAACTTGGGTCGGCTAAGAGCTACAAGAGCATGGATCGTTTTCCGCGGTTGGAATCTTACCGCAGTGTTTGAGCCCATTTGGGTGCGGTTGCTGTTGCAGACACCACTTGACACGAGGAATCTAGACCGGCTTATGTAACTGCCCTCCTTAAAAGCCTTGGTAAGCACGAGTGTGTCGGGTTGCGAAGGAAAAGTTCGCCCAAGAGCAGCCAAGGCAGAGTGGCATGACAGGTGGGTGCCTGCAGCATATTCAGAGGCAGGCCGAGAAGCTCTCGTCCTCATCCACTTTCGACATGTTCTTCCTCATGGTCATTATCTCCAATTCAATCCTGCTCGGAGTGCAACTAGAGATGATAGCATCGTCCAGCACCGACGATGCAGGATCAGAAACTAGCTTCCTCGTGCTAAACTTTGTGTATGCGGTAGCATTCACTTTCGAGATCGTCGTGCGCCTCATAGCAAAAGGCCTCAAGACATACTTTTGTGGCTCCTCTTGGGCTTGGGGTTGGTTGGATGCCATTGTTGTGATCTCTGCGTGGGTGGAGCTGGCTGGTGAAGTTACAACTCAGTCCGGTGGAGACGGAGAGGCCAGCAGCAACTTGCGGATCATCCGGATCTTTCGCGTCACCAGGCTTTTACAAACCGTCCGCTCCTTGCGGATGATAAGGTTTCTTACCGCCCTACGAACGATCGTTTACTCAATGGTGGGTGCGACAAAGTCGTTGTTTTGGATTCTCTTGCTTCTCTGCCTGATATTGTATATCTTCAGCATTCTCTTCACCGACGCTGTTGTGCACCACGCCCAGACGAATCCCGACAGCATCCACCTTCCTGAGATGCGTAAATACTTCGGCTCTGTTAGCACATCAATGAACACGCTGTATCGTTCGGTGTTGGCCGGCGTGGATTGGTCTGAGCCTGCAGACGAGCTGCACCGCGGCTTACTTGTGCTCACACCTACCAAGTCCACAAGCCTTACATTAGCTCAAGAGATAGCTGAGAATCGCAGCCTGCCTCTCTAATTAAGCCTCCCCCTGTATGATCAACAGCATCCAGTAGCATCTTCCTTCCCGTCGCAAGGAAGGTTAATCAACTTTGTGTATCAATCCTGCAGTCTCAATGCCAGTTGCCGTGTTCATCGACGGTATGTGGAGCCTTTTTGCTTCTGTTGTTTACAATCGCTGTACAGCTGCAAGTACTATTGAAATCAAGTAGCTCAATGTATGATGCCATTATAGTGACATATAGTGACTGTCTGTATGCAATCGGTTCTATCTTCGACGGTGTATGATGTAATCCTAGTCTCGTGGTCATCGACATCGTCGTGATCGCCACCTTCACCATCACCATCATTAGCAAACCAGCCATCTTGGCCCTCGTAGTCTGAGTGGGCATCGCCTTTTTTCTCACGAGGACTGGAACATCATGTTCACCACTCACTACCTTGAGGATGATCACCATCGCCACCAAAGACATGTTCATTTGTTTGTCTTCAGATTCATTGTCGGCATCACGCGTCTTCTCCCTTATCATACTTGCAACCCTTACTGGCCGTCATAAACATGAACATGATCACCCTCACCAGTATCAGTATCATTATCATCGTCATCATGAAGGTCATCTTCATCTTTATCATCATCATCATCATCATCAGAANNTCAGAACCTTCTTGTTCACCATTACGTTCACATCGTTGCCCTACCACCCTCACTGCCATTAATCCTGTTGCCCGAAAAGGATGAACTGTCGGTCGTAAATACCATCGCCGCACGCACGCCAGCACCACTGCCACCGCCAGCACCAGCACCAGCAC